GGTATAATATCATCCTCCTCAGGTATTTCATAGGAAAGGTCTAATAAATATGGATTTCCAACCTAAAGACTATAATATGCCACTTATTCTTTAACAAATACTCATTGGGGGCTTAACTATATAGTAGGCACTATGGAAAATGCTTAAAATTAATTTTGATATTATTTATATTTCCTACAGGCAATGTTTATGACCAACTTTTAGTGTTTATTAGGGTTATAACATGAGTTTAGATGCAATCAGATATCTGGGTTTTGTTTTCTGGTTTTTCTCTATATTATTAATTTATCAGATTAGGTCACCTGAATACAGTACTTGTCTCCTCTTCCACACTCTTTTAATCCAATATTACTTCAGATCTGCACACTCTCTCTAGAAAGTCAAAGTGATCTTCAGAGGTTTAAACTATGCAGAACTATACATTTTAATAAGCTATAATGATAGAACTGGAACTTGCAGGAACTGGGGCACAGGGAAATGTCAGTTTTCTCCAAGTTATTCTAAAACTCAGGTCTGCCAACTCCCAGTACATACGAATATAGTAAACCAGACTAAGTAATGATTGTTTTACATACAGTTAAAAGTAGCAAAACATGCACTGACAGTGGAATATGCCATTCAGTATATTAATACGTCTACTCAAATCTTGCAATGCTGCAAATCAGATATGCTTCAGTATTCTGCTACTAAGCCTGTCAAACTCCTTTTCATGAACATCTTTTACCTGGATTGCACTTTGTGGATCTTAAAATTGCAATAATAATAATAATAATAATAATAATAATAATAATAATAGTTTCCTACAACAATCTATGTAGACAGTTTTCTCTACAAAGACTACGTTCATATTCTTAGTCAAATATTTTTCCTGGACCTTAGATTTTCTTGAGGATTTCTCCAGTCCTTATCTCCCTCAATGCTGTGTTTGGGGTCTTAAATACAGTTATTGTAGGTCTCCTTTAATTAGTTCCTTTTTGCTAACAAGATACACTATATACTGGGATGTTTCCAGGAGAGCCAGTACACAACTATTCTTAAAGCACTAAAGTGGGTTGTATAAAACCCACTTTTGAAGTTGGAACAGATGTTTGAGAGCCATATCGATTGAGAACCTGATCAAGTTAGTGTTTAGTTCAGGTATTTTAAAAGCACAGCGTTATATAAAATACTGTTATTACATTTAGTCAAGTTAAAATCACAAAAGAAATTTGCCGTTATCATAAGTTTTATTTCCTGTCTAGGCCGAGGGTGTTAACAGGGGGGTGCGTGGAATGAACACAGGTCACACACAGCGCGGGATGACAGTCTCGATCTGGAGAGGACACATGTTGGTAAGGGGTCTGGATTCAAAAGAACCCAGGCTATTTGATCGCGGTCATCCTTCTTTGGTCATTCCTGGCGCTGAAGCAGCCAGGTAGGTCACTGGTCAGTACCGGCTTCTCCAGGGTAACCCAGAAAGCAAAAGGGGAGGGCGTCACCAGTACACAAAAAAGAGCTTCCAGTTCGGGCGCCCTTAGGTGGAGCCTGGCGTCCGACTACTGTACATACTTGATGGACACATCACTTAATGCACACAAATCTGCAAGGCAGGAGAGGAGGTTCGGGTCCTCATTCATGTCACACAAGAGGAAATTAGATCACCGGAAAGTGCGGGTCGGGAGGCCGAGAAAGAGAAAGGCACCCGGTCTGTCCGACTCCACAGCCTGAGCTTTCCGCCACCGAACTTAGAACGACAGAAAGACCCCCGAGGAGACAAGAACAAGGGTCACGACACGCCAGATCCACACCTGAAAATCCTGCGGCCTTTTCTCCGAGGGGCTCCAGGAAAGCCAGGAGGCGGGGGAGGGAGGGTGCGTGCGTCGCCGGAGAAGGGCCGGGAGAGCCGCCTCCCACAGGTACGTCCACAACGATACGCTGGCCGCCACGTCGGCCGCAGCTGGCGCCCTCTTCCTCACATTCCAAGGCCGCGTGGAACTGTCCGGCTGTGGATTCTCGGCGCTCCGACCCTCTAGGTCAAAGCCACGGTCTCCCGTCACCCGCCTACTATTGCGGCCACATTCGAAATTCGCCGCCGCGGTCACCCATTGGCTGGCTAGGAGGCGGTCACGTGAGGCTACGGCGCAGCCACTCACGCAGGCAGAGGCCCGCCCCACCGGGCGTCCTCACGTGACACACACTTACCCAGAATCCACATCCGGGTGTTCGCCTCTCCCCGTCCCGGGAGGGCGGAGGCTATAGTCAGTCCCCGTTGACCTGTCAGCACGTCTCCGGTCTGAGTAGTTGGTTTTTAGAGGTGGAGCCACGCCCAGTCCTTTGAAGGGTGGGTGGGTATTTTAGGGCTTCGATAAGCTTTCTGTTTCTTTAGTTTTTAGCTTTCCGTTTTCTAGGTTGTGCTCAAGGGTTCCCTCTTGTGAGAATAATCTCTTTGGTAGGTTGCCCGCCCAAGCAACCAACCTGCTGCACGGAGGCAGAGTTTAGGGATATTAAAACCGAAATAGGGAGCAAATTTTGGATTAACGGGATATTGTTAGGTAAGTTGCAGATACCTGAAATATTCAGCTCCAGGTTCTTTCTCTTTGCCCGGCAACCTCTGGCTCTCTAAACCCGCAGGAAATGGAACCAGCATCCATCCAATTAGCAAACCCAGAAGTCTGGGGACTCCTTATTGGACATTTTCCCTTAGCGTTTCCACATCCATTCAGTCACCCAGTCCTGTCAATTCTACTTTGTAAGTATTTCTCACATCCATACCTCACTGTTTTTCATTCCCCAATCCAGCCAACTACCTAATCTCTATCAGCTGCCATAAGTACCCACTCTGACCGCAGACTCCACTCCCTTATGATTTTCATAGAGTGATATTTTGATACCGCAAATATGATTGACTATGAAACTCTTAAATTACGGTTCCCCTTTGCATTTAAGAACTCCTTAAGGTGTTTGATCCTTAAAAAAACTTCATGCTTCCTGATTCCACCTCGTCTGAATTTTCTTTCCTTTCATTGTAATTCCTCTTGCTGCTTTTGCCCATGCTGTTACGTTTGTCAAGAACAGTCTTTTCCTCCCCCTGGGCCCCACTTACCATCCATGCTGCAGGTTTCATTATAGAGCTGAATTCCAGAAGCCTTATCTGTCCCCAAAGGCCCCTTAGTACCTTGCTTTGTACTCTCTTAGTGCCATGTATTTTCCCCTTGGTACTCCTGTGTGGCACTGACTTGTGTCATTCATTGCCTGTTTATTCAAGTGGCATAAAGGTAGGAACTATGTCTGCATACTTACATCTTCATCTGTTTAGCAATTTGAAGTAAGTCAGTAAATATTCACTGGGACAATAAAACAATAGATAAATGAAACCGAAACAGGTGCTTTGAATTTAGGATTCAATTTATTATAAAGTTGTTTTTATTTTTATTTTTTTAAAGATTTTATTAGGGAATTGGGGAAGGGGAACAGTGTTGGGGAATTGGGGAAGGGGAACAGCCAAGTTGTTGTCCTTCAATCTTAGTTGTGGAGGGCTCAGCTATTCTCAGCTCCAAGTCCAGTCTCCATCAGGCTGCCTGTTGGCAGCTTGCAGCGGCTCAGCTCAAAGTGCCATGCTCAATCTTCCTGAGCTGTGTTCAGTCTTAATTGCGAGTGGGTGTAGCCCATTATCCCATTCAGGAGTTGAACCGGCAACATTGTTAGGAGCATGTGCTCTCACCAGCTGAGCCATCCTGCCACCTGTTGGCGGCTCAGCAGAAGCTCGGCCAGGGCACAGCTCACTGGCCCATGTGGGAATCAAACCAGCGATCCTGTTGCTCAGAGATTGCACTCTTAACCAACTGAGCCACTCAGCTGGTCCCAAAGTTGTTGTTTTTAAAAGATAACTAACATTTACAGCTTCGCTCTAGTCTAAGCCTCACCTCAGATCTTCCTGGTTTATGGGGAAGAGATTAGAACATCCTTCTCCAGCCCACAACAACTTGTTCTCCAAGTGTCATCCACTATATTACCTCCATTAGTCCTCAGTTTACTGCTGCTGGGCAGTGTGGCCCATATGTGCAAAAGCATCACGAAGGAAAGAGCAGGGATGTTTTTTAATTACTTGAGGTTAGAGGATATGACATGGAAAGCGAGAGCAGCGCTGGAGGGCCGGCCAAGTGGCTCAGTTGGTTAAGAGCTCACGCAAGAGTACTATTGCAACAGCAGTTCGATGCCTAGCCGGAGCTGAGCTGCCGCTGAGCTGCCAAACATGTGGCAGGATGGCTCAGCTAAAAAAAATTAAAAAAATAATAGAGCAGCGCTGGATTCATGGGCATGCGACCTAAACTCCGAAAAGCCCTGCACTTGACTTAATGCTTTGCTCTTGCCATCTTGAAATGCTTAATAATTTATCTTTGAACTTGTGACTTGTAAGTGAAGTCTGAGACAATGGAGCATGCATATGAATATATGAGATACCTGTAATATGTGTGTCTATCCCTGTCTGTTGCTGCCTTATTGCCATACCATGTTTAGGATGCTCACTAAATGGCTTTCATGACACGCTTACTTTATACTTGGGGCCATGTGTTCAGAAGGGCTTCACACTTGGTTTAATGTTCTGCGGCCTTCTTGAAATTCTTAACAATTTTATCTTTGAACTGTATGCTCACTTTGAATCTCATTGAACTTTCATGCGTCTTAGCCTAAAGAGACTATTAAAAATCTATTCTGAGATTCTTTATTACCAGACAATTTTAAGACACTAAAGTTGACTTTATGGAGCCAATAAAGCCCCTTGGGTATTAGCAAATCTTTAACTGAAGTAGCATATCTAAAAATGTGCATAAAGTTACTATCCTTGCTATACTTAGTTAAATAACTAGGGCAAATTTAATGAGACCAGACTTATTTTACAAACAAATTAGTGTGACTGTGAATATCTTTGTTAAAAATAGGATGACTGTAGAGAGAAAATTTGTATTTCAATAGAAAACTATTGTGTACCCATTGTCAGAATCTAGCCCTGTTTGTTGCCTTTGAGGTTTTGTTATCTACCTGCAAACTGGATTTGATCCTGAATTCTTCTATTGGGCTGTCGGAAAAGTCATGATGTATTTTGTCTGTGTTTTTCAAAGGTCATTTATTTATATAAAGAACAAAGATCAATCAATGATATATTGCCTGTTTTGTTCAATAACTTTTTGCCATCTTTCAGTGAGCTTCATATGATTCCTCGTTCTTAGAAGGCCCTGTATTTATCGGCAAAAAACTGAACAAGGTGCTGATTTACAGCCTCGTCTGAACTGAACCATACTGCACAAGGAGTTTTGAAGAGAATGAAACAAGTGGAAGTCTGACAGCATGAGGTCAGGCGAGTATGGTGGGTGTGGCAACACATCCCAACCAAGCTCCAGTAATTTTTGACGGGTGATCAAACTTGTGTGTGGTCTGGGGTTGTCGTGATAGAACACAACTCCTTTACAATTAAGAAGCTCTGGACATTTTTGGATGATGGATTCATTCAGACTGTCGAATTGCTGACAGTACGCATTCGAATTGATTGTTTGGTTCCTTGGTAGGAGCTGAAAAATACGACACCTTTAAAATTTCACCACACTGAGAGCATAGCCTTCCTCTGATGAATGTCTGCTTTCGATGTCGTTTGAGGCGAACCATCATGTCGGGACCAAGACTGTTTGTGCACCACATTGTTGTAAACAATCCACTTCTCATCACCAGTTATCAGTTGCTTCAAAAAAGGATAATTTTTCTTATGTTTAATGAGCATATTGCAGATGTTTATATGCGCTGTCAAGTGAACTTCTTTGAGTTCATGCGGAACCCAAATAGCGAGCTTGCTTACATATCCCAGCTTCTTCAGGTGGCTCTGAATGCTTGAATGATGGATGTTCAATGTTTCTGCTATCTCTCGTGTCGTGTAACGTGGGTTTGACTCCATCAATGCCTTTCTTTTGCTGTCATCAATCTCGGTGGGCCCCCTTGACCGAGGAGCATCGTTGAGATCAAAATACCAGCATGGAATTTCGTGAACCATCGTTGGCACTGACGTTCTTGTAGAGCATTGTCACTGTAAACTTTATGCAACTTTTCACAAGCTTGATGCGCATTCTTCCCTTTATAAGTAAAACAGTAAAATATGGCAAAAATGCACAGTTTGGTGTTCCATCTTCAAACTGTTGTAAAATCTCCAAAACTCAACCAAATCACTCATTTTTTTAAAGCATCAAGCTAGAACTGCCTGCTGTCAAAAGATATAGCAATAACATAGATGCGAATGACTCTAGTACTTCCAAAAATGAACTAGTGCCATCTGTTGCAAACATGCGTCATGACTTTTCCGACAACCCAATATCTCTAATATCTGGCTACAGCTCTCCAAACTAACATTTCCATTTTTCTCCTACCCTCTGACTTAGAATCATTAAAAACCAAACTGTCCTTTCCCCACATCCCTAAGTAGCTAAAGGACGACAACTAGATAGAAACTTCAGATACATCACCACAACAGATCATATATGCATCATCTGTATGTCTGTCTCTGAGAGTTCACCAGAACACCCTGACATCATCAGACATTCAAATTGCAAACAGGAAAATTTATCAGATTGAAACTGTCATTCTCATTTTGCCATCTAAAGATGCTTTGAGCTCAAATCTAGAAAATTTCTCAACTGACTGCCCTTTAGACACAGAAATGAAGTTTATAGTTTGCTCCAACTCTTAACCTTTGTTTTTCTTTTGTTTTCTTAGAAATACCTCTTATTAAATACCTGATTGCTCACACCATATAACGACCTAGTCAGATGGAAGCTTATCTGCAATATCAACTCTTGAAGGTATGTGCGTATAAGAAAAAAATATACTATATATAGGGTTTGGTACAACTTGTGGTTTCAGGCAACCACTGGGGGTCTTGGAAAGGGGGACTACTGTACTTAAAAAAAATCTGTAGTAGAAGCACACTTAAAACAATTAGAGACATGTAGTAATTAATCATCACAATAGAAAGTGGTTATTCCTCTTATCTCTTTTCTGAAGCAT